ACAACAAGAAAGAAAGAAATAGCTGAACATCGGCGTTTCGATCGTAAAACATTTTACGTTCTGAGAGTAACCCTCTCGGTTACGTTCATTACACGTGACATAGCTAATAAAAAAGATCTGTACCTGATATCCGATTCACGTCGAAGCTTGTAAACCCGAGAACGTATAAACGTCCTATAAAATATATTTGAGAACTTTAAAGGTTGATTTTTTTTTTTTTTTACGAATCAAGTATCTCTTCTATCTTATGTCGCACTTATGTAAGTCCGGTACACACATATATTTTTCGGATGTACGGTAGTTATGCGGTGCTGGAATTCAATTCGAGATATTGCAAGTCGCATGTTAGATACAGCACTGCGCGCATTCTTCCAGCGACGTAGAAACATCGTAAGTTATCTTGCATACATTTTGAACTACATTTCTCTATGGAAATGTATTACGATTGTGCAGTCGTAATTCTTATGTTTCAATATTTATATCGGTCAATGCGCACATCTGATATTGAGAATTCATAAAATAATGGATTCTGTAAATGGTAACAGAAATATATTAGTTAAATATAGTTAGGAATTAATAAGAAATTAATATTTATGATTATTTATTAATTAATATGTGATATCGTACAAAGATAATTTCTTGAACAAACAAAAAAATGTAGGTTTGATTGATTGATTATAACAGATTCATTTATAAAAATAGATATTCATGGCTCTCCATCTCCAATAAGAGCCAGTTCCATAAATTATAGTTTCATAAATTAGTGAAAAGAAGGAAATAAAATGCACTTTTTCTTGCCACCTTATTAGTGATTCATCATCAAATTCATTTCTGCATTATATGGAATCATAATAATGATAAGTCTAATTGATAGAAAATGATAAATTATTTCAAAATATATTAATTACAAATTAAAACTAATCCAATAGTGAAACGAGAAAATACAAAAACGTATACGGAGAAAGAAATTCTTTTCTAAAATATCACTTTTTAATTATTAATTTTCCAAAATAATTTCCATATGACTTATGCTACTATAATTTTTATTCTCCATATGTAAGTACATTGTACATTCTATCAAATTACGATATCGCAGCTCCAAAAAATGGATATATTTAACTTATCTGTCAATCCAAGTCTCATTTATGATTCGCGGCGAGTCTATTAAGTATTGAACGGATGATCAAAAGCATCCAATCGAAGACTAGCTTTAACGATGAAAGAGAGGGAAACGGAAATGAAGGTGAAAAAGATGGAATGTGGTTGATGGGGAAAGGATGGTCGATGGGAGCAGAGGAAGAGATTCGGAACTGGAGAATGAATCGAAAACGAAGGGAAAACCTAATAATGGAGTCCTTCCCTTTCCGTGGTCGGCCACTATAGCGACAATAATGGGTGGTCCCCGGTATACGTCAGTGATCCGAGGTCGAGGAAAATTGGATTTGAAATCGAATTTATTCGATTTTATTTGC